AATACAACTTTATATAGATAGTGTAGAGCTACAAAAACAGGTAGTAATCAAATCAGAATGGATATTGTAGTGAATCATTGTCATTTTCATTATAGTTGTCTATACTCCTCAACTTGATACCATCAATCTAACAGTTTTGAATAAAATCTGTCAATAATAAGCAGCAATCAAACAAGTCAGATTTAACTAAGATCAGTCATGATACAACAATATAAGTCATATATGGATCCTGATTGAGTTAATAGGAAATTAAAGGTGTCCCCTATGCTGTGGACAGCTGTCTGTGCCCTCAGATCCAGTGCTTGTATACAAACTAGGGCAGAACAAGTTCCAACCAAGCAGAGTGGTGCAAGTAATAGGGGTTTTAATTCCTGATGCACTACTAGCTATATTTTCTGCTGTTTTTTTTTTTAAGACTATTTCTCCCCTTTACTCCCCCAGAATGAACTGTGTATTTTTGGGATCTCCCCAACACTCACAGTTTTGTATTGGGGGGAGCAACCTGCTATTTACCTAAGTGTTTCTGAACTTTCTCACTCCTGGGTTGGATTTCTAGTTATATTTCTTCATTTATTAAAGCCTGTCTGTTCAACCTATCCATAAATACTGGCCTAGTTACCCCTATTACTCTCTGTTCCCTATCACATCGAGTTCCGTTTTCTCACTGTTTGATTTTGGTCCATATGTCCTTCTTCAGGTTAATTATATTTCCTATAAAGAGCATCTCAGTGGACCCTACCTCTTGATCCACTCTGTCTGCAATTCTCTTTTTTCCCCTTAAGTTAGTATATCTGAGCATCTTTACCTTTTCCTATATTTAGGAAGTTCTCCTTGATTATTTCTGTGAATAGCCTTTGCAGTTCATTTGTTTGTATCCCTGCTTCTTCCTTTACATTCTTAATTCTTAAGTTATAGATTCTCTTATCATCATTTAGCCTTTGTATTGTTACTGCTTGTTTCTTTGTTATTTTAAAGAAGTTTTTCCTTTTATGCCCCCACATTGCAAACCTGTCCTCCAGTTCAGATAATCTATCCTTAGTTTCTTTCAAGCTGTTATGCCAGCTTTCAATAGAGTTTTTAGTTTCCTGGTAATCTCTTTGAACCTGCTTCAAGTATTCTATGTTTTCTCTATTTTCTCCATCAAACAATTCTCTCCTTTTTTTTTTTGTTTTTTGTTTTTTGTTTTTCCATTCCACCATCTGTTTTTTCTTGGGAGGTGCTTAGCATTTCTTTAACTGTTCTACTTATATCTTGCTTTACTTGGTTAAATACTTCACTTTTGAACTCGTCTATGCAGTCCCTAAGATATCACTTTATGTCTATTGGTGCCATGCCTGATATTGCATGTTTTCTGTCCTCATTCTTCTTTGCATTTACCTTTCCTGGATCAGTGTTCTCAGGATTGGGGACCGAGGACCCTTTATTGTTGCCTCCTCTTCTCATATTTTTTGTTCCTTCCATACAGGCATATATAGGAGGCCCAGTTTCTTTCTTTGTCGGTTTCAGTTTGTCTGAAGTGTGCTGACTATGGTGTCGTCATTTTCTATTGATATGGTTCAGTTGTGTTTCTATGCCAAGGATCCACCCTAAGTGAACACTTAAAGTCTTCCCAAGTCTGTTCTGACCCTTGATCTTTTCTTGGCCATACCCTGTATATAGCTTTCAAAGTTTTCCTGGATGCAGTTGCCTTTAAGACCTGATCTTAATCTTTAAATTCCTCAGAAGGAAAAAGTGGTGCAGGGAGCTTTGCTCCTCGAAATCCTCGAAAGCTGCTTCCCCTGGTAAAGTTTGCAGCAGTGTCAGCCACCTTCATGTCTGTACTACAGTTAAAAGCAGCAATCGACACTCAGAACATTGAAACCAGATATCTGGAGGATGAGGTCCTTGTTACCCATCTGGCTCTGAATGCTGCATTTTGGCTGCCTGCCATAGGGCTGGAGGAGAGTAACAGTTGTCTCCACACCCAAGACCGAAATTGACCAAAACTAACCCCAATTTACTATTGAAGATTTCTCCTTGGAAGTTGTAAACTTTCAAAGAGACTCCACAATTTCAAAATGTTGCCTTCAGATACTTTTTGACAGTGCAGTTGTTTAGGAGAGAGCTGGGTTCCTGGTGCTTCCTTCTCTGCCATCTTCCCTGACATCACTCTTCCCTTCTCGGTCCTTTTGCTATAAAATCTGCTAATAGTAGAGTGTAGTCCATTGGTTATTGAAGAGAATCCTGTGTAGGCTCCTCTGCTCCACAGGAAGGTGGGTGCCCAGCTTACAGGTTCACAAGGTTGATGGTAAGCAATCAGCCACAGAGCTGAGCAAGGAGAGGAGAGATTCCAGGTGGAGAAGAAGGTAGAACAGAGGAGGATCAAGGTTGGGCAGAGGATTAGGAGGTGAGAGTGAGGATGGTGAGGTGGTGCACTAGACAGGAGGCGGGAAGGGGGCTTACCCTGGGAGCAGAAGGGGCAGAGGAGGAAACCGTGTCAGCAGAGACATAGCGGGAGGAGCTCTGAGCACCGTGGTGTACTACGCTCTGCCATCTTCCACATTCTTCTGGGTCTGGTGGTTCTCCTAAACCACATCTAGTCTCCCTCCCACCCGCCCGCTGGCAGGCATGATGGTACTTAGTGTAGCTGGGTCCACCAACTGTAAATCTGGAGAATTAGTTGGTGGAAATGCATAAAACTGAAGATGAAATGAAGCTCTGTGACAACTCAGAAAGTTAATTACATGCCATCTGCAAATCCCTGTCCACACCATAAGGTCGGCAGTGTATGCAACTACCTTTATGCTTCTAGAAACCAAGCTAATGTGTCATTTTAAACTCCATTTCCATTTGGGGTGCCTCATCCCTTCAGTTTCTGTTGCACTTCCCCTAAGTCTGAGCTCTGTGAAGTTTCTTCTGATCCCTACGATGTCTACTCAATCTGTTTATGGGCTACCATAACAAAGGGCCACAGACTGGTGGCTTAAACAGCGTTTCACTTTCTCATCATGCAGGATGGTAGGAGTCTGCAGTGCTGACTCCATCTGAGGTGCAACACAACTGTAGTCCACACCTCTCTCCAGCTTACGATTTTTTGCTGACAGTTTCTAGTGTTCCTGGATATTGAAGCATCATCAGCTTCTCTGCTTACATCTTCTCATGATGTGGCCCCTGTGTGTATTTCCAGATTCCACTTACTATAAGGACACTAATCATATTGGATTAGGGGCTCACCCACGCCCGCTGTGACTTCACGTTAATATCTTCAGTGGTCCTATGAAGTTACATTTTGAGGCACCAAGGGTTAGGATTTTAGCATATAAAATTGGAAGAGGGGGACACAACTCAGTTTCCAGCAGCTTGCCATGTGACATCTGCTATGGTCCCTAGTAATGGGAATGTACCTGTTACCATGGAAGGTCTTTCCCACTGATCCATGCATCTCTTTGGAACCAGACCTTCTCTGAATCTTCCCACTGCTTTATGGCACAGGAATCCTCAGGACTCCTTCACAGGGCCATCAGGGTTTGTGATCTCCTTAAGCCTCTTCCATGCCCAGGGGACAGAATTGTTCATTTGAGTTGGATAGAGAGAGTAAAGGAGACTCTTCCTTCTACTAGGGGCATTTAGGGCCATTTAGGGCCATTTAGGTAAAGGAGGAGCTGGCAAGCTAGTTTGCAGACCAAAGCTGGCTCGCTGCCTGGGTTTATGAATAAAGTTGTGTTGAAGCACTGTTTGCTTATTCTTTCACAAGTTGTCTCTGAGTGCCTTTGTACTACAGTGGCAGAGTTGAGTGGTTCTGTTGTATGACTGTATGACTCACAAATCCAAAAGTATTTCCTCTCTTATCCTTTATCTAAAAAGTGTTATTGACCTGTGGTATAGACACAAGAGCCTGCAAATTTTTAGCCCCTTGTTCAGTTGTGTTTCTCCCCTAAAGTTCTAAAGACAGATTGGCCTTCCCAGTTAAGCGTGAGAAACGGCAAAGGGAGAAAAGAAAGACCCTTGAGAATCAGTGAGTGTCTCCAAAATACCATGCTGCCAGTTGGTAGGAACAGTTTGTGAAAACTCAGGGAGCATTGTGATTTGGGCCTATTTTTTTTTTCTTATGCTGAACTTCAGTAAAAAGCGCAGAGTGAAATCACAAGGAATCTTACTCCACCGTGCTGTTCTTGCCACCAGGGAGACAAGTGGAACCATTTAGGTTTCCCAGATCGCCATTCTCCAAGGGCAGTCCAGAGCCTGTGGAGGAGTAGATTAGGGCCACGCTATGGCCAGCCACTTCTGCCTCCTGGGGCTCTGTCTCTGTGCCTCTTGGAGGTGTGGACCTGGTCAGGGAACACAGCTTTCTGTCTAGACTTGCTAAAAGCCCTAGTCTAGGCAGAGTTCCTAGGCATTGGGGCTGCAGCCTTGACCTCATGCTTGCCCTGGAGAGCCCCTCACAGCCTGAATCTAAGTGGGCTGTATCTGAGCCTATGGTCAAGCAAATTAGTCATTCTGATTTGTCTCATTCTAAGTGAGAGAATTTATTTACTCATCCAAAAACTTGACAACCTCCAGAGTATACCTACAAGCCATGTAAAGGTCTTTATTTCAGGGAAGTAAAAAAAAAAAAAAAAAAAAAAAAAAAAAAAAAAAAATATATATATATATATATATATATATATATATATATATATATATATATATACATATATAATTAAAAATTCCCTTAGGATTTTCAGAGTTACAAATAGCCAACTTTTAGGTTCCAAATCAATTTGTGCATTTTTTCTCTACTGATAACTGGCTGTGTGGTTTCCATATGACCTTGATTTACAGGCCTTAAATGCGCTTTTCTGCCAATTCATGACAGCATACCTTCAGTATGGGTCTAGGATCGCACAGATGTGGTCCACAAGGGCAGGGGAGTTGCTTTAGAAGCGTGCTCCACCCCCACTGCCCCTTGGAAGAGGGACAAAGAGTGCCCTTGCTATTTTGCCTAACCACCTGGTTAATGCAGACCTTCTGTTTCCTTCTAGCCCTGGGCCTGGAGGCACACACTGCTTGGGTGCCAGTGTGGAGCATGCAGTCTGTGAGAACCTTCCCTGCCCTAAGGGTCTGCCCAGCTTTCGGGACCAGCAGTGCCAGGCTCATGACCGACTGACCAACAAGAAGAGCCTGTTGACAGCAGTGGTGATTGATGGTAAAGGCATACGGCATGTCCTTTTGCAATGGCTTCCTTCTCTTCTCCCCCAAGAACCATAAAAATTTAGGGAAACTCACAGGGTGCACCCCTCCCCAACTTGCCCAATGAAATGTTCCATTCCTCTACCTAAGTGGAGCCATAGTCCCACTTCAGGAGGAGTGGGGTTGAATTTGAATGATCCAACTCTATGATCTCTGAAGAACAGCTGTCTCCAGCAGGCAGCAAGCCAGATTCATCCTGCACCCCAGCTGCCGCAAGGTGGGTGTGCTGGCAGCCTGCCACCTGGCACTGTGTGTGAGGGACCACAACAGACTTCGAGGAGAACAGGGTTCTTAGGGGCAGATGTGTTTTGTGTGTCCTGTCTTGTTTTGTGGCAAAGATGTTTTCTTGCATTGACTTTCCTGGATCATTTTGGATAAGTTTTACCCTTTAGGGAAATTTAGAAAATAGCATACTATCTGGGAAAGATGATAATCGGTATAGGATGTATTTTCTTTGGAAGAACTTTCTCCTAAATCAAGAGACTCTGTGCCACTGGATTACTGCAGCATTTCCAGTGACTGAAAAGCTTCCAGATAGTGGATCATATCTCTGTAGAATTTGTGATGTTTTTTCCACTGTAGGTGAGGATCCCAGGGCCAAGTTTAGGTTTTTCCTTTTTGGCCTAAAACTCTGTTCCTCTTTAGCAAACATGACTTTGTGTTGTAATGCTGACCCTGTGATCCCACTTCCTGAGCACACTATGAGCCAGACACAAGTTAGCTAGCTCTACATACATCATCTCATTGGATATGCAATGCAAGGTGTGCAGAAGATGAGAGGTGACAGACGACATGATATATCTCAGCTCCTACAGCTGACAAGAAGCAAGGGAAGGAGCCAAACTCAACTCCAAAAATAACCAGATGTCACCTGGTTCCCAATACTTAAAGAAGAAAGAAAGCATGGCTTTTAGGTTCAGAGAAAGAGAGAGCTTTAAGAAGAATGAAAGAAAGAGGGCCAGATTTTTAGACATCTTCTGAAGTGTTTAGCAGAAGATCCACATCCTAGTACCAGCTCTTATGTTTCTTCCCTGTGATGGGGAGAACCTTTGAAATTCCCTTTCTCCTATCCGTGATGACAAGTTCAAATGTGCACAGCCCAGACTCTGCTGGCAATAGCAGCTTCAGATCTACAGCTTTCATTTAGCTTGGAAACCTGAATCATTAGCTTTAAACTAACTTGTAGAGTAACACATGGTGTTGTCCATTCTCAACCATAGCAGGTAATGCCAACTACCTCACCTGGGCACTGATTTTCAAGTATTGAAGAGCCCCCCTCAGCATTCTGCTTTTTGAAAAAGAATCCTGCCTTTGGGGCTGGGCGACTGTGTTGTGCTGTCATCTCAACAAGAATTTGAAAGTTCAATCTTGGCACCCTTGACTTTCCCTGAAGACAAGGATCAGGAAGCCTCATGCACCCAAAGGAACATGAGCAGCTCCAGGCACATGGTTACACAGGGTCGCCAGCCTGTCTCCGCCTGAACATTATTCCAATGCAGGGTGAGGCAGGGGCTTCAACCCATCTCAGGCAAGTTCATATTAGGAGTGAGACAGTGCCAAAGAAACTTTCCAAACCTCCTGCTTCCCCCAGAAGGTCCGGTAAAGATGCCTGTAAGTCTCTCTTTGTCCTCTCCTCCTTTACTGAAATCAGATCTCAGACTCACCCCTTTTTCATTTCCACTCAGCTCTGCACAAAGTTGTTGTTATTCTTTCCTTGGTTCCTTGTTTTGAGTTCTCCTGCCTCACTTATTCAATGCAGAAATCCCACTTCAATGTCTGTTTTTCCAACAAATTTCTCCAAGTCCAACTTAAACCTCCATTTTCCATCTAACCACTTTTGGATGGGTGAGCTCTTTGGTTCCCTTATCACCACAGTGGCTGAGACTTCTGTTCACCCAGACCCCATTCAGGGACCACACTGGGTTTAGAATGCATCTTTTCATCCACTTGCTTTTTGTTTTTTTTCTGTCCAAGTAATAATAATGCCAGTGTGCTGCTGCCTTTGATGTGAAAAGTACATCCCTGCTTGATAAAGACAGCCAACAGGCCTTAAGGGTTGTGCCTTTGAAGGAGAGACCCTGAGTTCAGGGCTCTGTAAGGGTAGCTACACATGTGCTCCTCTGGGGTGGAATTGTCATGATTTCTTGCATATTTGGTTTCATTTCTCTCCCAATTATAAACAGAAGCCAGCATTTTTTAGAAGGAATATTTCACAAGGGTAAAAGCAACATAATGGCCAATTCAGAAGGCAGATTCTAAGTGTTCCCTCAAAACCCACTTTCTAAAAGGCACAATTCTAGCTCAGTCATGATAGGAACGATTCCTGTGGTCAGGCTCTGGGCTCTTCTGAAGCCCATTATGACTACCCTATTCATAGCTCTGCTATCGCTGCAGAATTCTTTGGCGAGTGACGCACGGTTCAAGAAAGGCAAAGCAATATTTTTTCTTTTCTCTCTCTCTTTTTTTTAAAGAATTCTTGCAGAGGTAGATTTTCCAAGGGAAGACTCAGGACCACAAGTCATGCCCACCTCCAAAAGAAGACAAAGGCTCTCCTTAGAAAAGATTTCTGGGTAGAAAAGCCTTTAGACAGAAACCAATTGAGCTGGCTGGTTGCCAAACCCACCCCTTTCCTGCTTCCCCCATGGACCCTCATTGGAATGGAAAGCTTCAAGGGTTCAGCCCTGTGCCCAGGCCAGCAGCAGGCCATGTACCCACTGAGAAGTCGGAGGGCTTAGCCAAGGCTGTGTCTGGCTGTGGTTTCCCAGCTCTTTCTCCCAGGCATGGTAGAACCTCCTCCAAGCCTGAGCCTCTAAAGGGATGAGACTTGTGATAGTGAAGTCTTCCTGACTCTACCTTAGCCACGCTGACCATAGTTGTTTAATGAACAGAGTATCTTAGAGGACCCGAGGGCCAGGTTGAGACTCTAGGATCAGGGCCTCTGTCAGTGACATAACCTTACTCTGTCTACAGCTTACATGTGGAGTCACGTCCTCTTTCCCCAACTGAAGCCTGCCTTTCTCACCACTTGTCCATACATAGGCTAACAGGACATCCCATAGCACATCTTACATAAATTTACATCCCTTGCCTACATTTTGGGGAACCAGATGTGATTCAGAATTCAAAGCATTTTATCATTAGAGAAGCAAAATCAATGAAATCAACCAAATGATAATGTTGCTGGTGGAATTCAGGAAGGTACGCTATAGGTACCTGGACATCTCTACCAGGGAACCTACGAACAGCCCTGTTGCATAAGTACCAACTCCTGTCTAAATCAAGGCTGGTTTTGCTGCTGAATGTATGTGCCACAAACATAAAAAACACTTGGAGATTCTCTGTTACAGATAAAACAGTATAAGTTTTCTTTGGGATCCATCAGCAAGAAGAGAAATGACTACACTGGATGTGAATTCCAGAACTGAGATTTCAGTAGAAAGATTAACTGGTCCAAATGCTGTCAGGTGATCAATGCTGGCCCAATCAACTGAGGCCTGACTATGAGGTCATGGTAAGAACAGACAATTTGATTGGCCCAACTACTATCTGGTGGTCACTGCTGGTCTAGTCAACTGAGGGCTGGTTCCCAAACAGCTAGTTATGATGTCCTGGGGGGTAGTTGTCTTGGTTACTTTTGCTGGGGCAAAATACCCAACACCCAAAATGAAGGAGGGAAGAGTTTATTTGGCTTACAGTTTTTTGGCAATTTCAGTCCACACGTACTCAACTGGCTCCAAGGCAGCATAATGTGTCTAAGGGGAAACTGCTCATGGCTGTCACAAGCAACACTAGTGAAAAAGGGCAAAAGGGGAAAGGCATGCCTCCTTCCCTCCCTTATATCGTATGCTGGTTACTCACCCCTGGGCGGGTACAGCACTCACACTGCCAATCTCAGATAATGAACCAATCACAGACACTAGATTCAGCTGCCTCCATGACTGCGTGAGCTTTGGGGGGCCACCTAGACACAAACTATAACGGTAGTTTTGGGGACAGGTAGCTAAGCCAGCCTCCTCAACTGTGACTTTTACTACCAAGGCTATGCAGAGCTTGAATGGCTTGTGATGGTTTCAGAATGAAATGGTGTCTGTGTCCTATTAGGACTTCGTAACTTGCCACAGAGAGAGAGCCAGAATAGTGTTATGCTCCACAAGTTCCCTCTTTAGTGTGGTGCACCCTAAGAATCCTCTAAACCTCTGCCAACCAGATGTGCCCACGTGGCTCCCCAGCCTCTGAACCTGTCTTCTTAGTTCCGTGTGGGTTCCCTCCAGTCAGTCAGAAGTGCTGATAACAGGAGCAGAAAGAAGTCACACTGACCCCAGACAGACTGATTTAGTCAGACTTTCATCTCAGTGCACACAGCCAGGCAGGAGGGGTTCTCCAAGCTGCTCTTCTTAGAGTTCATAGCTGTGTAACCTTTATGATTTCACCTCATTTGCTACTATGAGGAACATAAGAGTGTTGACACTGTTCAAAACCACAACCCATCAAATCATGGTTGATTATTGGGGTCCTTTACCCTTGATATTAATTTCCTAACCATGGCAGACTGGGAAGGAATATTCAAAGTGTTTTGAGGAGCCCTGCACTTCCTTCTGCCATCTAAAAAAGTTCTCTGCAGTTCCTGTGGAAGATGATGCAGAGTCCTCAGAAAAGATGGAACACACAGTGGAAATTCCATCCAAGCCAAGGACAGAAGCTGCCCCTCTGCTCTTTAGTCTTGTTATCCCAGGCTTCCTGGGCCATGGAGAGCAGTGTCTTCAAGAAGAATGATCGGGTGCCATTGCTGGGGATGATAGCGTATTCATCCATTGGAATCTACTCCTCCTCCTTTGGAGAGTCTCCATTTCTCTGATGTTCACATAAAGGAGCCCAGACAAGCTTCATACCTTCCCAGGCTGATCTTTCTAGCTTTTCTCAAAATGAGCTCTATTCTTCTACCTATATCCCTTTCCTTTCTGCTCATGAAAGTGTACACTCAGAAGCCAGAAATACCCACAAACCTGATGGTTTGTTTTCAACAGTGCCATTTTGCCCCTTGATGTTGTTGAAGCCCAAGAGTTCTCCATGCAAAGACTGTAAACAAAGATGGTCAAAAGAGAACCAGGCTGGAGTGAAGACGTCAGAGTGTGGCCACTCTGTCACTCAAAGGCTTGGGTCCCCTGTGTAAGATGACAGCATGCAGCTGAACTGTGTAGACACTGCTTAGCTTGCTGTCTGGCATGTAATAGATCATAAGTGTCATGTTTTATCATCTACTGCTATTGAGTTAATATCTCAAAGCTCAGTTACTCCCAGTATTGAGTCAGCACTTTAATCTAAGAGTAATTAAAATCCAGTTTGAAACCACTTTGGCCAAGTGGTTTCATTTACCATGAAACGTTAGCAGCAGGGCAGTATATATAGTGGACATACCAGTCCACTCAGACTGGAAGGCTGTATTGCTACGTCTCTCCCACCAGCTCGTGAGGTCCTCCATGAAACCTCTAAGGACCCCAAAGAGCACGGCAGTAATCTTGTCCAATGAGATGCCTTGAAGCTGATCTCACTTTCTGTCACCATCTTCCATAGTTGTCTTTCTTTTGGCCGCTTCCTTGGGCCCTTGTAAATGTAAGGACACTCATCCCCAGTCTGACATACAGGAAATGAGTCATTCCTTCCAGATTACACCCTGCGCTCTGTGAGCTCACGTCAGCCTCCACTCATGGAATTTGCCACACTTTGCACATCTGGGGTTTGATTTGTACTTGTCCATGAGACCGCTGGGGCCTCAGAAAGCATGCATTGCTAATCATTCTTTGGTAGTGCCTGCAGGCCACTGTGGGTAAGGCAATGGCTCAAGCCAGGCTTACTGCATGAGCAAGGGACGAGGCTCCCGTACGCTGCTTACCTAGAGACCAAAGCTATCTGGTCTACTCTTCAGAGCACAATTTCCTCCCTACAGCTAGCTGGGAAAACGAAATTGAGCATATATGCTCTGATAACAACTCTAGCTGGGATGCCAAGACTATATCAGCTATAGAAGCCTTTTTCTACCCTGCCATTTGCTCACCCAGACCCAATGGAAGAACCCCTTGGGGAAGGGTGGCAGTGGAGATGAGGAAAGCAGCGTAAAGTGCTCCCCTCACAGAAGTTTCCTTTGCAGTGTAATCGCACTAACAGTGTTAGAGTCAGGATTGGGATTGGGGATGGAGGGCTCTTCTAGTCTTTTGTTCAGAAACTCTTACTGTAAACTTAGGTTCTGGAACTCTGCTCCCCAAAGGGACCTCATCAGTCTGCAGGTATAGGCTCAGAATGCTTAGGACTGCAAGGGTGTTAAATTTAAGACTCTTTAAATTTGGGATTCTTTACACATATACAATGAGAAATCTTGGGTGAACCTGTGTTTTTACTGTGACCCATCACCTGAGATCAGGCATGAAATTTTTCATTTTTGATGTCACCTCAGGACTCAGGAAGTTGCAGAAGTTGGAGCATCTTGAATTTTGGGGTTAGGGATGCTTAATCTGTAATTAAAATTCATCCTTGTTGCATTTGGGTCTGCCTTACAAGAGAGTCCTTCATATATAGGCTTTGCTCAGTTATAGAACAACAAGCTGTTATTGTTTGCAAGTTTATTAGTCAAAGGCTTTGATGGAGATGTACAGAGCGTACAGAGTGATGCGTGTCCTATCCCATTGTGGGGGTGGGGGGGGGTAGAAGAGAAAGGTCTGGGTGGAACTGTAGCTCGCTGGCTGATGGCAACCTTCTGTAAAGCCAGGTACAAGGCAGGATTTCCAGGCACACAGAACAGCCTAGGCCAGTGGTGGCAAATGTGGTACTCACACCACAGGGAATACATGGAGCCCTCTCAGTTGGCACAAAAGCCAAGTTGCCCCAGCAGCTGAGTATCAGATAGCAGTTGTTGTTTCTAAACTAAAACTTCAGTGTTGCACTTTAATTGCTGTGCTGGCACTTTGCAGTACAAAAGTGAGTTTGGGTTGTAGTTTGGGCACTCAGTCTCCAAAAGGTTCACCATCCCAGATCCAGGCAAAGGTGTGTGAACTGGGTGTGTTCTGAAACTCACATGATTCCAGTAGCAGCAGTAACTGAGACTTTCATCTGCCATCAACACAGCTCTAGGAGTTGTCCTGGTGGACCCCATGTCCTCTTCAGTGTGTTACTCCTGCTCACTGTCTTCCAGGGTCTCCATGCTTTAGACCAAGCTTTGAGCAATTGCCCAGCAGCTAGGGGAGCCCTGAGGCTGTTAGCAAAGACCACTGTCATGGAGACTCCCTGGAACTTGCTCCCCACATAGGATCACCCTTGTCCATCACCCCCTCTTTCCTCACCCTCACCATGGTGGCAACTTCAGCTGCCAGCCATACCTTTCTCCAGCCCAGCGTGGTGCATCTTTGCAAAGCATACACAAAGGAGAAGGAAACCCACACTTTCACATGCCTGATTCTGAATCTTTTCAGAGGTGCTGGTTTAAGAGTCCAAATGATTTGGGTGTGTGTGTGTGTGTGTGCATGTGCCTGAGGATGTGTGCTAAGCTGCTGTGACCTTTACCATGCCAGTCTTTCTCCTTTGGGTTTGCCTATTGCTTGTGTCCTCCCATCTCAACATCTGCTGACGCTTCCCTCCTCAGATAAGCCTTGCGAGCTCTACTGCTCACCGCTCGGGAAGGAATCACCGCTGCTGGTGGCTGACAGGGTCCTGGATGGCACCCCCTGCGGACCCTATGAGACAGACCTCTGTGTGCATGGCAGGTGCCAGGTGAGTGCTTTTTCTGATGTCCTTGATCATCTGTGGAAGGAGACTCCTTCTCCCCAATGGGTTTAGGAGAGAGGTGAGGTCTCTGGAAGTGAAGGGTATGAATTTCCTCAAGGAGGCACCTGGTGGTATTGCCTGCTTCCGTCAGCAGGGCCTGACATGCCTCTCGGGTGTCAGCAGTGACAGAACACAGTGCCCACTACAGGCGCCGTGGAACTGGGCAGCTATAAGAGGACAGCAGCAGAGTCATCTCAAATCTTTTTAGATTGCCTTAGACACATAATAAAAAAGAGCAGGTAGGTACTAAAAGACTAGAGGATGAGAAAGTTGTGTTCTGCTTACTTGCAAAAGATTTAGTAGGATTAAGCAAGTGCCTTTATGGGTAGCAAATAGGCCTGGCTTTTCTGGAACATTCTACCTGGTGGAACAGTAGAGTTCCTATACTCCTCTTGATATTGGGTGGCCTGTGACTTGTTAGAGCACTGACAAAGAAAGAAGGGAGGGAGGCAGGAAGAAAATGCATTGGAATAAATCTGCAGAGCCAGCGGCCACCAACAGCCCATGCCTCCCAGCCCGAATGAGGCAGAGGTCACCTGTGCTGCCTGTTTCTCCATCAGAATAAGCACCTTGTGATGTGGTAGCACCTGGAATGTGGCAAGAGACCTTGAGTCTTCAGTGTCTGGTGGGGAAGGACTTAGGTGATGCCCCTTCTACATAGCAGGTGCCATCTCCCGGTGATGCCTGTCACTGTGAGCTTGCAAGAGACTCCCATGGCTGGATCCATCCAGGCTGCTATAACAGAATACCATGGGTTGGCTGGGTTGTGATAAACAGCACAGTCCAATTTCTCATAGTTTTGGAGACTGCAAAGTGCAAGATGAAGGCTCCTTTTCCATAGATGGCGCCTTCCTGTTCTGCTTTCGTGTCGTGGAAGGAGCCAGGGAGCACTCTGAGGCCTCTTGTATAAGGCTCTAATCCTGAAGGTTCAGCCTTCAGACCTAATCATGCATGACCCAAAGGTTCCAGCTCCTGTCACTAACACTGTGGGAATGAGAAATTCAACATGGGAGTTTGGAGGACACAAGTTTTCTGACCAGAGCACCCCAGGAGCCTGTCTTCCGTGGCCACAGACACCCACTCTCTTCTGCTGTGGCTGTATTCCTCCCTGTGGGCATGGAAGGCAACCAAGCACTGTTTGAGACGGCAACTCACAGCTGCCAGGCAGTCAGTGCAGGAAGGAAAATCAGGTCTGTCTGCTGTTTTTCACACGTCCTGGTTTGGCCTCTGTGACCAATGCTTGTGTTAATCTAATCAAGGAGTCCCTCACCTGAGGACCACAGAGGGGACTTCCAGTTTTACTGGAAAAAGAACAGAGTGCTTTTCAGGAGCCATGTAGTTTTTATCGCTTCAGTCTCTCCATGTCTTCCAAAGCTAACAACCACCTGTAATCCTTGGTTTCTGGGAAAACTTAAATATATCTGACAAAATGGGAAGCTCTGGGGTCCTGGAGGAGAGACACCTAAATCCTGGTTTGACGGTGAGTGTGTGGAGGCTCCTGTTGAGCGGCAGGCCCCCTGCTGCAGCAAATCTGCTTTGCTCTCTTTGCTTCCCTGGTGTCTAGCCCTGTGTGCAGGCATCAGTATTTTGGAAAATGAGTGACAGAAGAGAAGATATCTAGGATGGTCTCTGCAGTGTTTTCCCTGAATGGGATATTTCAGGGCAAAATTTGACAAAACCCAGGCTCCTTTGGCACTGCCTGGCTTTGTTATCAAATGTGGGTAAGTGTGGGTGATAAATGCTGGGTGCTCAGCATCTTGGCAAGACAGGCTCCCGGGGAAGGAGGCAGCAATGTGTGCTAAATCTGAACCCTAAAAGCTGCTTCTCAGAGCAAAGAATGTACTGGCCCTTCCCCTGGGGCAGTGTGAACAGAGCGCTTATCATTATTACTGAAATGGGGCATGGCTGACCGTTCTTAGTGAACCTGCTGTTTAAGCCCCACGCGGGATTTGGTTCCTTCCTAAATTGCGCGCTTGCCTGGGCCATCTCGTCTGCTCCTGTGTATTGCAGCCTGGTGACCTACATTCTTTTGCAACTGCTCCCCAAGTCAGAGCTCGTGAGCCTTTTAGGGCAATACCAGCCGAGCCACAACTTGCCCTGTGCCAGCACCTTCTGCGTTGTTCTTGCCAGCAGGGAGGTATTTCTAAGAATACTGTAATTCTCTAGCCAGTGGGGGAGGGTGTTTCTACCAGACATGATTTCAGCTCCTACTGCTGTGTGCCAATGGGCATTTCCATGACCTTGGTTTTGATCCCAGCTTTTTAACTAGGAAGTCTTTCTTGAGCACTGTGACTGAACAACTGTCAGTTCTTTAGTTGATGGAACAAGGTCAAGATACCACTCAAGTCATTTGAGTAGCCTTCAGTCTGGGGACATCTGGCACCCTGGAACCTGATCCTACTTTGCACATGGGTATTATAATCAGTCTGGCTGCCATAACGCTGCAGACTGGGTGGTTCATACATTTTAGTCCTGAGTGTTCTGGGAGCTGGGAGGTCAAGGTCAAGGTGCCAACAAGGCTCTGATGAGGGTCCTCTTCTAGGCTGCCAGCTTCTGACTGTTGTGGTATCCTCAGATGGTGGAAAGAGAGCTCTTTGGCATCTTATAAAGGCACTAATCACCTCCAAAGGCCCCACTGCCAGATACCTTTGAGATTCAGAGTTCAACACACAAATTTGGGAAGAGCACAAAGTTTGTTCAGTCTACTGCTAATGTGGTGGCACTGATGCTGAGACAGGTGCCTCCCATCCCAGATACCACTCCATCTCCGCAGACCACGGCCAGTCTGTCTCCAGTGTCTACATCACTGTCATCACTGTTTGTTGTCACCTGCACTGAACCTGCCACTAACCAAGCAGAGTCAGGCACAGAGAGCAGACAGTGACTTCTTTCTCAGTGCTGTATGGCGGTCTCTCACTCCTCAGGAGCCTCACCTGACCGATGAGGAGACCGTGCTTTGGCCTCCTCTGGATAAGTGCACCTTGGTCCAGGTAGCCCATCTGTCCTGGCAGAAAAGCTGCCCTGCCACTAGGTGGCAGCAGCAACACCTGCAGACCCTTCACAAGGTTGAAACCCTAAGGAACAACTTGCTTTCTGCAGGAAGTTAAAGACCATCTGCCTCTATTCAAATGTTATTCCTTCTTCAGAGAGACCCTGAAGATTAACCTTAGCCAATTCTTAAGTCTCATGAAACCCCAACTGAGCATCCTTATGTAAGATTTTTAAATCAAATACTACAAACACACTATTCCACATTCCATAACTGTCAAATAGAATGTTCTGGATGCCTGTGGTGCTTGTGAATAAGTCGAGGAAAACTGGTTAAAAATAACCAAATTATTAAAAAATTTCAGCGGTATAGTGGGCAGAGAAGCAGGATCTATTCCTGATATAATTAACTACAATGGATAACGGGTAGAAATCATCTGCACTGCGTGTAAGACTGCATCTGTAGAACTGTCACCATGGCGTACTCACAGTAGGCCTTTGCTTTCCCTTCAGCTATAAACTTTTGCTATTTGGGGTAGCAGAAGAACGATGGGAGATTTTAAGAAACATGGTAACTAGTTGGTAGGATGAGAACCTCCTACATGGCACTTTGAGTAGATTCCACTAAGCTGCAAATAGCATGCTGATTCAAACCGTAACATGAAACATGGAAATATCATTTTATTCCATTTTGTGAGAACTGAGTTAAGTTTCATTCCAGTGAGTCACAAATCTCTTAACATGCTGAAATTAAACTTAACAGCACTCATAAAAGTGGGAGGGAACTGAAGGGGAAGAAACACAAACATTGTATATTTTTCAGCAAGTCCCTATAAATCAAGACTGCCATCATTAATGATTCTTGCTCTTGGCCTCCAGAAGCTGAGAAGCCAGGTTAAAAGTCTTTAATATGCAATTTGCTTCCAGAGCTACTGACATACAGGGAGTCACACTGACCTGCAGATTTAACAATTGACAGTGGCCAAGTCCAGATATACCTGAGGTCCGGATATGCTTGAGTTTTCTTTAGTGCTTTATTAGTTTATGTGCACTGGTAGCCATTGATTAGGGTCCTACTTCCTTAAGACCATCATTTGTGTGTACAACCGGAGCTCAGGGACCACCAAAGTAAAACACCTTGTAAGTTTCAGTGTAAACTCACTGGCCTGTAAGTTTCTTCAGTGGCAGAATTGTGTCTGATTATTCTATACTTTTCCCTAAGAGCTAGACCACATTGGAGCCTTTGATTTCATATTGAAAAAAAGAATTTTAAATAATCAGTGGGTACATTGCCTGCAGGGGCTAGAGTGGTTCTGGGATCTGGAGCTCATTTCAGTGGACCATTTTCAGTGTCCAGAATTAATCGGCCTCCCATTTTGTATACAAAGGTAAGCAGAATTACTGGTGGAAATTAGAATTATACAGACGCTGGCCTTAGAATACCTCTGTGTGAAGAAGAGATAACAACATACCAGGTGTTTGATACTTGGGTCCTATTTCAAGCGTTACCTCCTTTGAGGCCTTTGCTACACAGTGATCCTGGAGCTGACTTCTCCAGTGTGTGGTCGTGGGTGCTGAACCTTAATGGACAGCACCCCTGTAAGCCTCCATGGTAAAGACAATATAGCAAAAACCGTTACTCTGGACAAGAGAATTACTCCACCTCTCTTTGGACAACCAATAAACAGAAGTGTCATTGAAGGAAAAAGTAACAGAGCCCAGAGTTGGAACAAATGGAGAATCACAACGATAAAGAAAGCTCAACCTGAGAGTCCTAGACTTGGGATTGGAGGTAGGAAGTGAAGAGTTGGCTGCAGTCTATGAGATGAGCCAAGGGCCACCGACAGCACTGTGGACCCTGCTCGGTCCTTCTTGGCTCTGATCAGGTGGCTGCTGGGAAAAAGAGTAGTGGGTTCCCTTCTACAGTATGAGGCACACTGTTGATGAAAAACTAGGCTGGAGTTCCGGCTTCCATGCTTGGGGTACTTACGGATTTACAGTAGATTCCAGCCTCCCTCCCACTAATCCAGAAAGGAAATGTACATGCCACGCTGTCCACCATCACTTGCAGACCTCCTTTCACTGGTCTTGCTGTTCCACATTCCTCGTATCAGAGAGCAACCAGGGGTCAGCGGCAGCATGAGCAGGAAAGACTAAGAAAATAAACAGGAAAACTGACCCTAGCAGAAAATTGATGCAATTACAGAATTCTGCATAAAGCCATGCTGTTACTCAAGCACATAGGCAAAATAAAGTAATTTTAAGATGCAGAAGAACTCAGAAATTTGATTTTCCATGTATTCATTCTGAAGAAATTACACTTAGTTTAGCAAGGATGAAGTCAAGATGGAGGAAGAGGAGCATTAGAGGGCCTGGTAGAAATTACCAGCAGCCCAATAAATCCTGGCCTGACAGCTGTGCAGCTGGCCCAGATCTGTATTCAGTTAAAACCCAAAGAAGAAGTCAGTGTCTTCCTCCATCCAGCGGGCAGGATCAGGGTAGTAAAGACAGCTGCTGATTTCAAGAACTCGAGTCCTTGTGCTGATAAAGTGCCTGCCTAGCATTCGCCAGCCCTCTCCCGTGTGCTCCTGTCTCCCACGTCCTGGCAGCTCACTGACCACCTGCCGGATTCATTCTGCCCAGCACTCCCAGAGAGGAGATGTGATCTAAAAATACAGTAAGTGTTTAATTGTTTCACAGGTTTATTTTACAGTAAGACACATTGCCTTTAATGTGTCCCTCAAAGTCCTCCTCCTCGCTTCGAACACATTGATCCCCCCTACTTACCACTTTCCAGGGGAGCTCTGGAAGTCCTCTTTCACGAGTGTCTGCAGCTGTGCGTTCCAGGCTGCCTCAGCATCCTAAGTTGATTCCAAATGTCTACTTTTCAAGGTCTTTTTGACTTAGAGGAAGAGCTACTGGTCACACAATGCCAGGTCCAGTGACTAAGGTGGACGAGGACACTCTGATGGTTTTAGAAGTTGCCTTTTCATTGGCTGGCACTCGACACTTGGATTCTTTTTGATCGCACTTCCTAAAGACACTTAGGAAAAAGAGCTTTTAGAACTGCATTGGAACGTGGCAAAAATGAGGGGGTTAGTGTGTTGGAAGCTTGAGGGAGTATTTTGAGGGAGATTAATGGCGATGTCTGTAATAAATTTCTTAAATTTAAACATATATCTCGGTCACCCCCTCCTGAGCAAAAGAAGTGAGGGGGAAACGGACAATATAATCCAGAGCAAATCTCAGGAAGCCTCTGGCAGCAGTGCTAAATTGTGGAGATAAAAGGATTAACCCACTCAGATCCACCAAAGCTTGGTAATGCTGCATTTTCAGTGTGTAGGTAGATGTAAAGGCAGATTGAAAGTGATCTCATATGGGAAAAAACATACATATTCATATACATCCATCTGTATCTATATATGTCGTCTTTTTCATTAGTCAACAGTGCTAATTAAGCTCCTAAGTTAAAAAAAAAAAAAAAAGCTATGCAAGAAGTTGCCCATTCAAGTATGAGAGAGCTGAGTATCTCAGCTTAGAGGAGGAGTAGATGTCTCGGTGTCCAGAAGAAAAGAAGCAGGCATCCCTTTTTGAAAAACAAGGTCTCTAACTCAGTTTTGTCCTGAGCTTATCTCGGTAAGAAGTCATCATGTTTATGCATTTATTGAAGATATACTATGTCTCAGCACCTCAGTAGCCATTGCATGTGGGGAGGGGAGCAGGAAGACCAAGATTAGAAGACACGGTGTGCTGTGTTCTATGTATCTGTTAGGAAGATGATTTATACAGGAGACCCTAACTGCCAAGCACAAACGCACGGTTAAGAGCTGATAAGAGATTGAGTTTAGATGGAGCAGAAAGCACAGAGTAGGATTTGGTTTATTGATGTATCTTTGTGGTACACATTCACATGCCAGACACCGGTACACACTGTGGGACAGCATGGCACGGGCTCGGAGAGGAGTCAGATGACACACAAGACACTGTGTTAGAGCTGGAAGGAGCTTTCCAGACCGTGTGAGATCTTTAGGGTGTGTGGAAGTTGTTTAGTCAGGAAATCCTAACTGAGGCGCAAGGCAAGCCAGGCATGAGGTCAGAGACTCACAGTGATACCGCAGAGCTGTGTCTTAAGAAATAAAAGGCCACTCAGTGGCACAGCAAGGTCCTGAGTTCAATTCCCAGTACCAAAAGAAAAAGAAAAGAAGTCTATGTAGGAAAGATCTAGAGCTGTGAGCACCTGAGAAAGATGGGAAGTCCAAGGGGGCAGGTCCAAGTGACATGCGGAGCCAGGGCCAGGGGCAGCTCTGGTGGTGGTCACCCTGTGGCTGTCCCCAGCCTGGAGAGCATGGCAGTGGAGTTTTGAAATAGAACACATAGTCCCCAGGCTTGGCCCTGAGGTGTTTACTGAACTCTCGGTAGTGAGCAGGTTTTCTAGGCCACTTTGTATGCTTTACCCCAATGATCTTAGACAGAGCAACTTCTTAGCAACAGCTAGCAGGCCCAGATGAGGAACCTGGGCGCTCCATCCCAGCTGGTGTCCCCTGGGTCACAGTGGAGTGGTCTGTCCCAGCGTGGTGTCACAGTTGGCTTCCAGTCACTGTACCAGACACTTCTGTCTTTCATTTTTTTATTAGTGTTTTAAAATGTCACCTAACTCTTTGGTGCCACAAAATCCACTCTGATGCATCAGCTCCTGACCTGGCCTTGGGCCACTAAAACCACCAAGGTTGCCCTTTCTTTACCTGTTCTTGTACCATGAACAAGTGTGATCCTTTTTCAAAAGCTGCCTTTTTAGTGTTCGTAATGACAATTTGTAGATTAACCTCATCGCTTACCATCTCTTAGCCTTTACTGAAATAAATCTAATTGTACCACCTGTGTGGGGCACACAATAGTAATTTTCCATGAATTCTTTCCCAAAGAAATAATAGCATCTAAGGATGAGGGTCTGGGATTCTGAACAGGAAAGCCACTCATCTGACCATCTGAATTGGCAAACACTAGTGTAGTGGTTCTTGTAGGGTAGCCCAGGCCAACACTGTCAGCATCACCTGGGAGTATGTTAGAAATGTGATCTCAAGCCTGCCTGGCCTTACTGGATCAGAAATAGCAGGACAGGATCTAAAGGTGTTTTAACAGCCTTTCAGATGAGTCCAGTGCCCACGCCCGCTGGAGTCTGGCCTCCACGATGGAGCAGGAGATTCTCATTCCACTGTGGATCCTGGGCCTGCCTTTTGCCTCTAGGGAACTGCTGTTCATCCTGTACTGCTCTGGGTCCTGCCCGGCAGGTGGGGGTGGGAGTGAGGCTGTGGCACACAGCCTGTGCCTGCCCTATGGGCTCAGGAAAGAGCTGGGCTGCCCCAGCCTGGGACCCTGTTTTCCTGTGTGTAGCTGGGGCCGTTCTTATTCTGGGAGTGTTTGCCTTGACAGACCAAAAGGAAGAGAAGCACTGAAAGCAATTTAGTCACTAAAGATCTCCTCTTTATCTAATATAAACTTAGGCTACTTTGCGGATTACAGAATTCTAGAGGTGCACACATGCATGAGTGTGCGTATGTGTGTTTTTTAAAGAAAAAAAGCAAGAGTTGTTATTTTCTACTACTCAAGAATGTACAGCACTGCATCCTAGACCCACCGAGGGTGGAGGTTGCCTTTCCTCTGATTCCAGAATCCCCTAGGAGGTTGGAACGTTGTGGACTTTTGCTGATCAGGTCTCTCTAAGTGCAAACTGGGGATCCAGGTCTGGCCCTGCCTGCCCAGTCCCTGGGTATCCCCTCTCACAGGCACTGGTATAGTATCTTCTGTGGTTGTAGACTGCTGGGTGTTCAGCTGAGACCAGGTGACCCACGTGGCCCCAGAGTGAACACTGATGTTATGAAATTGTGGCCACATCAGGTGGCACGTGGGAGCCAGCTCTACTTCTTGCCAGGGCCTCTGCCTTAGCTACCCTAATGTGGAGCCAGGGCTTCAGGACTTCTCTGGGACCCTTTCCTCGAAAGCACACACTAGAAATACACGTTTGAGAGCTGTGCGAGTATAAAGAGAACATATAATCCAGGCTGGCTTCTATTCTTTTTTTTTTTTCCCTCTTCTGAATTTAAAAGAGTTATAGTATTTTCTTGGACCTCTGAAGAAGTGGGGGTTCCAGGCACTATCTTTGCTAGGCCTGATGGAGAATCAGCCCTTCAGGGCATCAGCTTTAAAACCCCCTGACTCTTAAAAATAACGTGACCCTCTGGTTCTCTAGAAAATTGGCTGTGATGGCATCATTGGGTCTGCGGCCAAGGAAGACCGGTGTGGTGTTTGTAATGGCGATGGCAAGACCTGTCGCGTGGTGAAAGGTGACTTCAGCCACTCCCGAGGGACTGGTGAGTACAAAATGCAACACACCCCTCCGTGGCTCAAGAGCTCAGGGTTTCATACATCCTTGCCCTTCGTATTTAAGGCCCAGATGATAATGGGTTGGTGAACTGCCACTTTTTTCATTTCTGAAAGGCAAGGGGGAATGATGTCTATAAGTTGCTTGAAGGGACTACTTCACCTGTGCCAGGAGACAGCTCCTGGGCTGAGCAGCTTGGCCCCAGCGTCCATGAATCAGCAGCCCCTAGCTCACTGCGTATCAGCTTCCTGTCAGGCTGCCTGACATGGTCAGAGGAGGTGGCAAACGCACCGCCACGTCGTATTAACTTGATGAGTGTGGTTTTCTCTGTGAATTCTCCATTGGTGAATGTGGGATAGCATTTGCACGTATCTATGAAATGTACACGAAAAAGTCTCAGATGCCTCCGCCCCCTGGGACCCCGGAGCAAACCTCGAGCTCTTCGAGCAGCATCCTTGTAGAGGTACCTCAGCCTTCATTTGGTGAGACTTCTCAGTCTTTCTGCTGGCACCATCTATGCAGCTTTAGGCTGCTTTCTTTAGAAATGGAAGGTGACTTTGGATCCCCTTCCCTGGAGGACACTAGTTTGTGACAGCCAGTAGCATCTATCAATGATGCTTATTGAAGGGGCCAGTGAGAGTACCCAAGCTTCTGGGTTGGCCTTGTGACTCTGACCTTTTCTACTGGAGGAATACCAGAAGTTTAGAACAAAACCTTTGCATTTGCTGAGGGATCCCCAATTCCCTTTCTTCTTTTTTAAACAGAACATTAGAATCCTTTGTTTAACTGAATGTTGTGCTGAGCTCCAACAAATGGACCCGCTCCAATGGTGCCACTCTATGGTAGGCAGGCTGGACACAGCCATATCCACCCCTGTCCCAGGACAGTCCAGTTCAACACTAAAGGAGGTTCTGCCACTGCTTTTAAAGCCTCCACTGCCTGCACCAAAGCAGCTCACTCACCGGACTCTACATTAGGGGCAAAAGCATCCTATCCATTCCAAAACTCAAATCTGCTTGCTAGCCTAGGCAGATCATCCTTTCTCGTCTCCTTTCTCTCTCCATCCACCACTTGCTGGGCTTCCTCTGGGCACAGAAGGTGTAACCTTCTGCCTTATAAGGTCTGGCCTATGTGGCCCTGACAAAGGGTACTCTCCGAGAAGGATATGTCCCATAGGAAACATTCTTGGGGTAACTGCTGTTCCCACCTTGACATGGAGCTCCAAAGCATGCTTCCTTCTAACTTAATAAGCACAAAAGGAACTTAAAATTTTACTTTGGAGAAACATAGGGACGTGTTAGCTTCACCCGATGTAAATGGCCTAAAATTTCTAGTGGTAGCTGCACGTCAGATGTTCATTTTAAAGCACAAGGCTGTTGGTTTCAAATCCTCACCCTTGCAGCCAGTGAACCAAGAGCCCTCTCAGCATGGATTTTGCTGAACGGAATTCTGTGTGCAGTGCTTGTTCCCACACGGACGCACTGCTGGCTGCCTAAGAGAGCAATTAAATGCAAACCTGTAATCAGGGCCTGACTCTCTGGGGTGCACATATAATGAGGAATTGGCGAAGGGGTGCCCTCAAGTCCGTTCCCCTAGCAAACGTGTATGCAAACAGGCATATTTTAAACACGAGGTGTACAGAAATGGGAGGTTAACTGTCACATGTCCGTCACTGTCAATGTGAAGACCCCAAGGCGCACAAGTTGAGTCGCTGTGTGTGAAGCTCGCAGAGGTGTTCTGGGGTGGCCCCTTGTGTAAGCCTGCTGACAGAGGGGACAGCTTCCGGCCATAAATGACATATAGAAATCAACTGGTAATCCAGGTCAGGGAAGGACACAAAAGCCGAAGGAGAAAAGCATATTCTTAAGAGGTTCACTGTAAAAATAAAAAAAAATAATAAAAAATTAAAAAAAACCCAAGTCATTTGACATCTGAGTGACCCAGTGAGTGGATTTGATTCTCCTGTCAGTACAGATAGGAAGGTAACTTTGATCTGTACCGAGCTCCAAGGAATGAGGGAAGGAGGAATATCTTATCACCCTTTAGGGTCACTATCAAAGAGAAATACCATACCACAAAGATAAAACAGAGTCCAACGCAGGCTGTTTGCCCAGTTGTGTGAAGTTCTGACCCTTGCCTGAACTCTTCTGGGTCCTCTTTACCAAAGTTTACAAACTGAGAATCGAGAGCAAACCCACACAGGATGAGTGTTGCAGTCACAGCCAAGCAAAAAATGCCCAGGGTTTCCCACTCTGGGGAAGTGGTGTCCCCAGTGGAAAGTGTCCACTACCCTCCAGGCTGCGGCCTCCTAACTCTTAAACAGATGAGGTCCTTGGCTTTAGAAAAATCGGCTCAGCCTGGCTTCCCGGTGGATGAGCTCAGGAGGTGATCCAGCCTTGGGGTGGGTGAAAATAGCTGGGCTGTTGGAATTAATAAGTTAAAAGTTCCTGGTTTATTTCCCCTCACTCGTTAAATTTAACATTGCAGCCTAATTACTGTCATCTAACATTAAATTTTAATTTTAACATTCCTCTTATTATATGGTGTTCCTTGGTGATGGCAGTGTACCTGTGGACATCTAGGCCACACCTGGACCAGTATCCCTTCCAGCCAGTGGACTAATGAAGCAGCCAGGAGTCCCTGTAGGCTCTGAATCTATCTGTGCTTTGTTAAAAAGCAGAAAGTAGACTGATTCATATGTCACATGTGTATTCAGTAGTTAGCTTCAGAGGCTGCCATCCCCAATTCCGTGCTGTCTCCAGTGTGGGATGTGGACACTCTATGGGAAAGTCTGAGGATCTGTCATGAGAACGTGTAATGAGGCTATTTCTACTCCATGTGACAATGACAGTGTCTGTTCCTAAAATGTGCATATTTCTTTTTCTTAGTCAAGAACAGTCTTTGTACGAAGGTGTCCACATGTGTGATGGCCAAGGCGGTTCCCAAGTGTTTCTCATGTAAGATGTGTGGCTGTTCTGTGTGGTCCCCTTGGTGACATGCTTGGTGTGGGGCACTTGTGTCACTTACAGGCCTAAATGTTCTCTGAATAGAAATATTGAGACTGAGTTATGCATGAAGCCATGGATGAACACAGGTCTATTCATGGCTTATACATAACTGATGTTCAGGACTGATTGCCTAAAAGAAAACTAAAGAATAAAACCAATTTTAAATATAAAAAAGCCAGGGCCAGGGATGCAGCTCGACAGTATAGCACATGCCTGGCAAGCATGAGGCCGTGGCTTTGATTTCCAGAACCAAAAAGAAAAAAATTAAAAATTAAAAAAGAGAGTCTTGGGATCTAGAGGTTGGGTAGAAACATGCCCTAGCATGCCAGGATTGGGTTTTTGTCTTCTTCAATCATACCTGGCACTTTGGCAGGAAAACCTAAGGCGTGCCAGATAACATAGCAGTTGACAGCTTCTGCTAGGGGGACATTTTCGTGCCAGAGGACAGAATTTCCCTGTTGGCAGAGGTGCACGGGTAAAACCTTCCTGGTCTTCGTGCTGGAGGTAAGGGCAGTAGCCTTGATTTGTCCCATCCCCACTGGAATTATGTTCCAGGGAGTGAACTAACGTGTGGTCTCTCATTCTGGGATTCCCAAACAATGATTTTCTTTTTCTCAGACCCAGAAACCTTTTCCCAGGTTAGAAACATGCAGGCTGATTCTCTGTTTACCGTTCTATACAGTGGCGGCAAGCAGTAACTCTCAGGAGCCTTGTGCTTGTCAGAGCCATGCTCTGCAGTGTACTGTGTGCTAAGGTATGGAGTTCAGTTGCTGGGGTAGAGGATATGCTGGGTGTTTGTTTGTTTGTTTGTTTTTGGTACTGGGGATCAAACTCACGACCTTGCACTTACCAGGCAGGTGCTTGTGCCACAGGGCTAAATCCCCAACAGTAAATGCATTTTTGACTTAAAATATTTTCAGTTTATGATGAGTTTATCAGGACCTGACCTTATTATAAGTCTAGGAGCATCTGGGCTCTCATAAGAGACTTTCATAAAAAGAGAAAAATATAAACTTATACAAGAGCCTTCCTGACTATCTTATGATTTATGTAGAAAAAATACTTAGTTTTTTTTCCATAGGTTTTATACACCCTGGGTAAAGAGTTCTAATATATCTAGCCAGAATTTCCCTTGTACCTTATCATGCTAATATATAATGTCAATGATTTTCTTCCAAAAGTAGTTAATGTTGCTCAAGGCACAAGGAAGATTATGACCGTCAGTCCTCTAAAAGCAAATCTTTAGATGACTGGAAATGTCATAGCCTAGTAATATTAACTAGTAGATTTAAGACAGGTCAAAGGTTAGCAGCTCTAGGAAGTTCTTTCTAATACCTAGTGCTAGACAAAAACGGTATGTTCTCCTAGAACAATGGCAAAGACACTGAATTCTACCCATGGTTGCCTTGTGGAATCAAATACTGTCCCTCTACCTGGGTTTCTCCTGATTTTTTTACCAGGGATCAAACTCGCAACCTTGTGCTTGCCAGGCAGGTGCTTATGACACTGAGCTAAATCCCCAGCCCTCTCCTGCTTCTTGATTTAAGACTCCAAGATGAAGTCTTGCCCCCTTGCCTAAAATGAGAACCTGTCTTGTAAATTCTTAGAGTAAATCCTCTGTTTCATGCATGACTCAGTGTGGTTTTGTCTAGTTATCTACATAGTAGGGCATCTGGGCTCATGAGTGACAAGGTGCTTGGGACTTGGTGATGGGACTCTTTCCTTGCCTAGCTGCTCTTCAGATCAACCTAGTGTGAGCTTTGAACCCTGGGACAGAGTCTGCCCTGAGGGACATTGAGTTTGAGGCAGTTTCATTGCTTTGAGAACAGAGGGCAGTCTTTCCTTTCAGTCACCTCCTCTTTGACTGGTCTTCTGTGTATCAAGAAGAGAAAGAAACTCATCATAAAAGGAAAGCATAGCAGATGCACCACCAGGACAGCCCTGCCCTGCAAGGTCACCTAAGGATGAGCCCTGCTTGGGTCACATGCCTGCCCTGAGCTTCGCACTATTCAGCATCTCTACCCCAGGCCTGTGAGAAGAGGACAGAAAACAGATGCCGTTTCAATGTTGCAACATGTGCCAAAGTTATGCTTAAAAATAAACGTGTTGACCATGCACTGATGCAAATGTACCTTGCTCTCAAATGTGGAAAATTAATGAATCAGGACCCTGGCAGCTCGGGCTGTTGCCTCAGACTGACCGGACTGGTGCGAAGATTCTACACCACAGAAGCTGCCTTCAGAAAATTATCTACCTCCACAAGTAGATCTTGAGCCCAGGTGTTGAACAGTTGAAATGGAAATTCCTCTGAAAAAGATTTGAATTCTTTTGGCCCTGAACATTTTTGTCTCTGTTTATGATGCTTTCCTGTTTCATATGCCTGGAATCCAATAATTCATCAGATTCTCCTGGAAGAATTGATTTCTCTAAGAGATATTTGTGGCATAAAATCTTAGAGTTGGTGGTGGTAGTATAAAGTAGGGAAGCATTCCTAGAGCAAAAATAAATTCAATTAAAAGCCCCTAAAGCAACTCAGTGATGCAGGAACCGTATGCAGGCCGCCTGTCAAATCTATGTTGCAATTCCCAATTTAGATGCATTTGGAAGGGATCACGCTTACAGGACCACACAGTTGGTTAAAGTCATCCTGCCTCGGGGCTAGGATAGATGAGGGTAGAAAAATTAGGCAACTGCTACCCTCCAACTGGGCGGTGTTTACATTTGTGAAGTCTCTCTAGTCATGTAGGAGAACATTTACTTGAAACATCTGGGGCTGAATCTACAGCAGCAATGCCAAGGTGTTTGCTATCAGAATTGAAGGATATTGGTAAATTTTCTGTCCAAGATGGCTGATTGAACAAATGCTTAATTTCTCCTCTTCCCAAAAGTCAGCTGAAGATGAATACAAAGGAGGATAAAAACAAAACAATGAAATAGAGATACCAAACAGGATCGTAGGACAGTTACAATAGCTGATACATGGCCTATTGTTGTCTTCCTAGTAGTTATTTAGAGTACAGTATCTAGCTATCCTATCTTGTCTAGACAATATTAGCACGAAACATTCTTTTCAAGTAACAGAGAGAAGCTAGCTGTATAGCTGTCGTAACTTGTGTATACACATACTTTTTTCTTTTCCCCTCTCCCCATCACAGTTTCTTTTCTTTAGAACAGTTTCTTCCCAATTCACAATGTCTATTGTACATTTCTAATCCTATTGTTCAGTTTCTCACACCAGTGAGACAGTACAATGTTTGCACATACGGATCTGATTTATTTCACTTGTGAGTACAGTTTTAAGTTGCATTCATTTACCTATAAAAGTCTCCAGTTTATCCTTTGTGGCTGTGTAATACTTCATTGTATCTGTCTCTTTTTATCCATTCCTTGGTTGATGGACACCTAGACTGTTTCCAAGATTTAGCTGTTAAAAATTGTGCTGCTATAACATAGATGTACATATATCACGGTGGCATGATGTTTTTTCATGCTTCTGGGAAAATACTGAGAAGGGGAATAGCTGGGTCAAGTGGGAGGTCTATTCCTACTTTTTTGAGGAATCTCCAAACTGATTTCCAGAGTGGTTGCACCAGTCTGCACGCCCACCAACAGTGGAGAAGGATTCCTTTTTCCCCACAACCCTCCAGCATTTGTTATTGGCTGATTTCTTGATGATAGCCATGCTTTCCGGGATAAGATGGAATCTAAGTGTTGTTTTAATTTGCATCTCTCAAATAACCAATGACTTTGAACATTTTTCATATATTTATTTGCCTTTTGTATTTCTTCATCTGAGAAGTGTGTATTCATTGCAGATGCCCATTTTTGTATTGTGTCTTTGAATTTGGGAGGACTGATTTTTTAAAAGTTTGTATGTGCTCTAGATGTCCTTTGTCTGAGGGACAGTTGACTCAAATGTTTTCCTACTCTGGGTTTTCTTTTCACTCTGTTGGTGATTTCTTTTGATGTATTTTTAATAAGATGAAGTCCCAGTTGTTGATTATGTGAAGTATTTCCTATGCAATTTGGGTTTTGTCCATGAACTCTATCCTACCCCTATATCTTCAAGCTATCTACCTACTTTCTCTTCTGGTATATTGTGTTTCTGTTTTAATATTAGATTTTTGATTCATATTAACTTTAGTTTTATGCATAGTGATAGACATGGGTCTAGTTTTGTCTTTGGCATGTTGAAAGCCAATTTTCCAGCATCATTCATTAAAGAGATTTCTTCCAGTGAGCATGTTTGATTACTTGTCAAAGATAAGATGGCTAAATGTGTTTGGGGATGCATCTACATCTTCTGTTCTGTTCCACTGATCCTCAGGTCTGGGTTTTTTGTGGAGATTTGGTGGGTATTTTTGTTTGTTGGTTGGTTGGCCAATACCATGCTGATTTATCATAGTAGCTTTGTAGTACAATTTTAGCTATACCCCTTACTTACTTTTGTTGCCCAAAATTGTCTTTGCTATTCTAGGTCTCATCTGATTCCAAATGAATTTCAGGAGTGTTTTCTCTAGATCTGTGAAGTATATTGATGGAATTTTGATTGGGATTTCAATAACTCTTTATAGCAGTTTGGGAGTATGGCCATTTTCACCATGTTGGTACTTCTTATCCAAGAACAAGGGATATCTTTCCTTTTGCTGATATCCTCTTAAATTTCCTTTTTGGGGAGATACTGTAATTTCCACTGTACAGATCTTTTACTTCCTTTGTCAGATTGATTCCTAAGTATTTCATTTTGGGGGTATTATGAAGTGTATGCTTTCCCTAATTTCTTTCTTTGTGAGTTTGTTGCTATTGCATATGCATGCTATTGACTTTGGAGTGTTGACTTTCTATCCTGCTACATTATGGAATTTGTATATCAAATCTATAAATTTTTGATGGAGTTTTGGGGGTCTTCTATGTAGAATATCATGTCATCTGCAAATCATGATACTTTA